TGACAGCTGTAAATATATGACCCACTTGGGCATTCTTGTCGGTGGCATTTCAGAGGCCACCAAGTCAAATCTGAGAGGATCAGGAGGCGAGAACTCGCCCTGTGAGATAATTGTCTCAACAACGGCCCCAAGCACTTCCCTCCACTGCTAGTAACAAGAAGCTACTAGGAGCAAAGGGCATCGCTACTAGGAGCAAGGACGCTACTAGGGGCTCCTGGCCTTACTACTAGGAGCAAGAAGCTACTAGTATCGTTGGAGTTGGAGGGCCTTATTTTTGAAGAGAGGCTTTTTAGAAGAGACGTGTGGGTCGTAGTTGTGCGAAGGCCTGCGAGAAGAGTTGCGAGATCGGCTTAGAGATGTGATGCAGGTGGAGAGACGGGATGGGAAGTCGAGTGTGTCTGTCGGTGATCTTCCAAGAGTTGAAGTAGAATGTGAGATTGAGGCACTTAGAGGGTTGCATGACCCTCAATACAACACACGCAGGTTTCTAGGAATTTCCATGGATTTTCTATAAGCTTTCTTGTTTTGATACCCTATCTCGTTTGCTTGCCAATCTCGTGTATTAGATGAGACGACGACGACCGCTCGGGACGACCGCCGACGTCCAGGCGAGGCTCGGGGAGTGGTCCCTGGGCGCATTGCATCTCCGCGCCATCATGAAGGCGCCAGCCGCGGGCCGCGGGCAGCGGGTGCTTTTCAGGGCAGCGGGTTCCTGGCACCGGTGCCAGTGCGGTGCTATACGTAGTGTTCAGCTGGATGGTTGGATGGCTGGACAGTGTGAAGGAAGTGGATGGTTGTTGGTGGTTTTGAAGCAGAAAAGGCAGATGCAAAAAAGCACCGGGAAAGAAACAGTCAGAGATCCGCGGCGAATCCCAATATGTCTCGTTTTTGTCATGGTAGTTGTCATGGTCTATTTGTTCGCTACTGAGGCCACAAATAAGGCCCCAGGTGCCAAAAAAGATACAGATCTCCTACCCTATCGGAATCTCTTGCTGTTTGTGCCCCAGGCCTTGATGGGCACGGACGCACAGCCTTCGGTCGGGTGGGGAACCGGGGCATGCTGCAGTCACAACCTTCTTAGGCCAATCTCTGCATAAACCGCCGCCTAGGGATTTGAGCCAAGAGTCCTGACTGGCATGTATACGACTGTTGTATGACTGTTTTCCCTTGAGTTTGATAGCAATGCCTGAGCCCAGTGTAAAACTTTGCTCACGGGAAGTGTGGCCTGGAATGCTTGCTTTCATGCCTGTCACTGTAAACCCTAAACAAAGCTGGGCAATGATCGAATCTGATTCTGACTGCTTCAGCAACCCTTCGTCGGAGCATCACAAGGTGGTGTGTGAACCGTCACAACCAACCAACCACATGCTTCCCGGCACACACAAAAGACCAAGCCACCAAAGAAATTCCAAGTCTTCGCTCACTATCCCCGCTGACCTCGATCGGATGAGGTCAGATGCCGCCCAGCGCACTGGGCATCTTGATGCCCGCCGCCCGGGCGCTCTTCCAGCACGGCGCAGCGGTCGCCAGCCCTTCGGCGGAACAAAGCGGTCGACAGCAGCCAGGTAGGTCGAACGCGCTCTTCGTGCTCTTCGTATCTACTACAGTAGTTCCAAGTATAGTCAGTCGAAGATGTGGTCCACTGGGTAAAACCACAGGCAGGTCTGCCAGAAAGTGCCGTAATCAGCAGAAAGAAAAAAGCAAGACCAAAGCAGGTTCGCTAGGCCGGTACATATTCACTCGCAACACGGTGCTATACCAGGCAGATGCACCATTTGGCCGTGTATTTTCCACATCGATAGACTAGATGCACCATTGGGAGGACATGATATTTTTCTGCAGGGCCATGCCGGCCATGCATGTTCTTTTCCTCTCAGCGACCGAGATCCGAGGTGGTTGGGCCACCCAGGCGATTCAGGGGAACTTCCCACCGGGCGTCAAGGAGAGAAATTGCATTTGCACCTTGTGGAAACGCCAGGGGGATGGACGGATTTGGAAGAACCGTTTGCAGAATTACCTGGGAATTTGAGATGGCTATGAAAGATCATGGAGTATGGTGAGGATGGAGGGAGGTCCTGGGTTTCCTTTGTGATCGTGTTGGAAGATTTCTCATTACTCATGGGTTATCGTCATTTGATTCATTCTGATTTCAATACTAAGTCCTACATCTATTCGATTGAGCGAGGTTATGAGGGTCACCCCATCGTGAAGTCAGGGAGGATTTCCGTGGCTTCTTTGATTCCTTCTTGCTCAAGCTTCACGGACGTGTGACTCGAATGTGAAGACCTATCAGTCACCGCCAGTGGATTGGCCACAAAGAAGACACACCTTGCAGAACTTGACAGTGCCGACATGTTTTTTTCTTGGGGGAATTCTGGAACTCTCTTACAAAGGATCAACGGAGCTTTTTTAAGCCATTGGCTTCATAGCCGTTTTCCCAGCCATTGGCTTCATAGCACCACCACTGGCTTCACCTGCTCGTTCATCCCTCCAGCGGTCTCCGCGTCACTGTAACGCCCGACAGGCGCAGCGCGCCGGGCGCAGCGCGGGCGCACGCGTGGCGGGCGTGGCGCCATGGCGGAGATGGTGGCTCGCCCCACGGAGTATATGCCACTTGGAGTGCAGTACTACTAACAAGAAGCTATTAGGAACAAGTGCATCGCTACTAGGATCAAGAACGCTACTAGGGGCTCCTGGCCGTACTACTAGGAGCAAGGACGCTACTAGTAGCAATACTATAGCCTCTATGATGACATTGTTGGTTCGGGGGAGGCTGGAGATGGATGGGGCGAAGCGATGATGAGAAAGACATGAAAGATCATGAAAGTGCATGCGGTTAATAATGCTTATCGATGAGATTGTAACATGATAGTATGCATTATGGTCCTTCTCGTACCCGAGTTTGAGTACATGTGCAGAATTGATGGTTCAGCTTGCTTTCGATTGGGTCCCTGTTCAGCTGTGCGTGTGCTCCCAAACAACTTCCAGACCGTGTTGCTCGGGCAATTTGACCCTTTTGGCCGTTCAACCACCCGAGAACCACAGCCCTCTCACCACTCTCCCACCGTCCCAACCGTTGGACGGTTGCCTTCGTTGACGCCGTGAGGTATCAAGATCCTCCCACCGTTTTGGTGTGCCTCTGGTGCTCTGGGATCTTCTGTGCCACGGTCACCATCGCCATCACCGTCTACAACATCCGAAGCTGGTAGAACTCTCCACAAACGTGAGTGATTGTTTCTACTAGCTTCTTCTTGTTCCTAGTAGCTTATTATTATACAGAGTCAAAACGGGCTACCTGAGTTGACCAGAGAAGATGAACGGAATGGACTAGGAGGGAGGTCAACCTACCAGGGATTGGTTTTGGCCCGTCGGGGGGTGAGTTTTCATAGAGGGAAGATTCGGAATCATCAAGCCGTATTTGTTGCAGTGTTCACCCCTGCCTCTCAGAAACCGAGTCCTGACATTAAGCGATGTTCCAATCCCAAGACTATTCGAACTGTGAGTTCTTTGCAGTTTATTGGTCAAGCTCCTAGTAGCGTCCTTGCTCCTAGTAGTACGGCCAGGAGCCACGTTCGTAGCGTTCTTGTTCCGTTCGTAGCGATGGCAGGAGCCCCGTTCGTAGCGAACATTGTTCCTGTGGCCTAAGTGATGCGAGCGGAACATAGCTTTGTCTTGAGCCTTCGACGTAGTCAGGCAAGGACATCGTAATCAGCGAGAGATTTTGCAGGCAGATTACGTTCGAGACTAATGCAAATACATATGCTCAACTGTTGTTTCCTTCATGAAGAGCTGATCTGACATGTAGAGGTCCTCCCAGCCTTTTGACCACTGGCATTTGGGTGCCATAAGACTGTAGAAGATGGCAAATCCAATCCCAATCAACAGGTTGCAAATCACTAGGGATGCACCAACACTGACGTCAAACAAACGCAAACGAAGCAATGCCACTGGGTTGTGACCCAAGGAAGCCACTATCACTCTGCACGTGAGCAGGGCTTAGGGTGGCCCGGCTGCAATCAGGATGTGGCCGTGCGCACTCCCGGGGAGCACGTAGTGATCAGGGCGGATGGGCCAACCATGCATGTGATCTATCTAGTAGCATCCTTGCTCCTAGTAGTATGGCCAGGAGCCCCAGTAGCGTCATTGTTTCTAGTAGCGATGCCAGGAGCCCCTAGAAGCTTTGTTGTCACTAGTAGTATGGCCAGGAGCCCCTAGTAGCTTCTTGTTCCTACCCGGCTTTGAAGTTTCGAGATATCTTTTCTTTATTGCACCATCCGCATCATTGAATCCCCATCAATCCCCATGTTTGGTCCAAAAGAGGCGTGGGAAGGCTGAAAGCTACTGTACCTTCCATTCTTAGCACCAGCGCCATATGGGGAAGGGTTAAAGCCTGGAGCCCTGGCCACCAAACTGAGAGCCATGTTGAACCATTTTAGATCTTGGCCTGAACAGCAATTTGTTCCTGCCATCACCGATAAACGCAGAAAATCCAATGGTAGAAGCTTTCCTGCCGGAAAAATCCCTGGCTATGAATTCTACCTCGAAAATCAGGTGCTGTTGAAACTTGCATGTCTTTTTAATGCGGGTTGCAAAGACATCCCCAATGGATGGTCCTTTGCACTTGACAATCTTTTCTGATTGTCTCTTTCATTGGGTCCTTTGTCTTCACATTCCAGAGAGGGTGTGAAGGCCAGTCTGTCTCGCTCGACTCCGACTGGCAACGCGGCGTATAGCCTGGAGCCCTGGTCCAGGTAGTTCGTGCCCGATTGGTATCTTGGTGCCATGACCCACTTAATCTCAGTCAGGTTTTGATCCAGAGCAATATCCTTTCCCCAAGGTATCCTGGTTTTACATATCTCAGAGGGTGGGGAACGTCAGGAAAGACGCTACTAGGGGCTCCTGGCATCGCTACTAGGGAGCAAGAACGCTACTAGGAACAACGAACAGAGTGGAACCTAATAGCAATGTGGGGAAGGCCGAAGACTCCCAGGCATCACGAGATGTTGCCGTCCTTCGGCGCGCGGGCCGACCGCATCATGCAGCAGCTTGGTGTGAAACGAAGTGATTCGGTGATTGATTTCCCTGTCCCAAAGCAGCTACCGCAAAAGCTCATTTCAGAATGAGTTGCTCTGTTGAGGAAGAAGGTCAGACTCTACAACCACAGTTGTTTTTCAAGATTGTCAAATCCCAAGTCAGTCCTTCAAACACGTTCCAGTCACCAATGATACCATCCCTGGTCCGTATCTTTGGTCTATGTACTCTGGCTCGTATCTTCATATCTGGACTCCCAGATCCTTCACGGTGTTTCATCCGGAAAGCGCGAAGCAGCAACACTTGGAGATCTCATGCGTCTTGAAGCACGAGACAGGCTTCAAAAGCCAAGACTGACCATGATGGAAGCAGCTGACGGCATGAAGATGGTCCAAGATTGCCAAAAGAATCAGATCAGAACCAGGTCGCGACAGAAGAAGGCGCCCGTTGCTCGTCATCGTGAGGCTCCTGCTGGTGCCCTTGGTGGGCGCTTCCACTGCAGCGCTGCAGATGTTCCTGCCCGGTGGTGCTCCGAAGCTCAGAATTCTCCGAGTGACGGGATGGGAATGAACTTACAGTACTCAGTACTTTGTTTTTGTTGATTTCATAAAGACGCTGCGAACCGGTGAGCCCTCCTTTATGGGGCAAAGAGGAGGTTTGTTGAAGGTAAGATAGATGGTCTATGGTAGTTGAGAAGGTTCGGGAACATCAGAGCTTTGATGCTCCCCTGAAGTGTCCCATAAATTGTAGCTGAATGCCCCTGTGCTTGAACATTTGCGAAGAGGCTGCAACAAAGCAGTTCTGTCAGTAATTACAGGATCTTGTACTCATGCATGGTCACACTTTTCTGGAGATGGTCGTGAAAGCTCAAATTCGAAGAGAATCTCGGGGCCTTCTTGGGTCTTCATCGCTGGCTGGAGGGCTGGTTTGGCACTTGGCCAAGCTGCTCCAAGGATTCTCTCCTTCTTGCGTGTCTACCAGTGGCTGGGTCGAAGTCTGAACCGGAAACAGTGAGTAGTGGGCAACATGAAACAACAGGGTGCGATACCTGTCACTAGTATGTCAATATGTATTGATCCAATTGATCTTCCCAGCTTTCTGTGTCACGAAGCTGCAAGCAGAGCGAAGTCTTTATGCAGAGCTAAGCACACAACGGCACTTGTGGGCCGCAACGACCAAAGGCCCTGAGACCACATTGGCGAAAAAGAAAGCGAAATGAACAGGTTGCCAAACCAAACCAAACCAAGATGCTCAAATCACTCAAATCCTTCTCATCGGGACAATGCCTTTCAAGCATCGTCTTCTTAGTGCACAGTGGCGCACATGGTCCGAGGTTCACACGTGCCATGCAGGACCTGGTAGAGTTTTTGTTTCTGCTGAACGGCAGCCAGCAGCACATCTTGGATAGCTTGCCCAAGGACACGGGACGCGAGTCCAACAAGTAAGATGGACCACTGAGGATGCAGTATCTTCAGATATAGTTGTGCAGCATGTTGTCCTTCAACAATACTGTGGTTGTGGACCAGAAGGGTGGAGACTCGCACAAGACCATGGAAACGAGAGTTTCCAAATTGGCAGAGGCGAATGGACAAATTGGGTCAATGACAGGGGTGATTGATATAACCCATGGTAGGCTGAAACCAGGAACCTCCAATCATGTCAGGCTCTCATCGAGGATTACAAAGGAGTGGGATCATCACGGCCATGGATCAGTGATAAGTAAGTTTATGTGAACACATGTCACTGATCATATTACTGATGTATATCACTATATATGATGTCATATACAAAACCAGTGATATGGGAACTGTTTATGTGAACACTCTTTGGAAAACCGTTCTTCCCATCCTATTATGCTGAAACATCCAGATGGTCGACCCATCCCCCAAGTCAGCGCAATGGCCAGGAGAAGATCACCCTCTTTTCCAAGTTCCCTTTGTGTGTCTTGGATTAGTATTTGGATTCAACCATGGGATGTGTCACATTCGAACTGCCAACACTGTTTCTTTCCTTTTGCACAGACTTATGTTTCTTCCAAGTGTTGCACAAACTTCTTCACAGCTGGTTCAACCCACTTGTGGATACCCACCGGACACACGCGCCCATGCCGCATCGCCCGAGGTTGTGTTTTTGGCTGGTCTTGCTGTGCGCACCGGCCGCGCTTGGGACACTTGCGGTTCTTCGTCGCCGGTATCAGGCACCAAACTGCAGTTGCGTACGTCACATGTCAAAAAGCACAAAGGGGTAGCATTGGACATTGGATGGACTTTTTGCTGAGGCCACTTCGTTGCGCGCAGCATGGGCAACGTCACATGCAGTCACCCTCCTTCTTTTTCACGGAACGCAGGCTTTCCCGACGGAGCGTCATGTGCTGCGTGAGGCAGTTCAACTGGCTGATGCCATTGCTGGGCGTCATCAGCGTCTACATGGAATCTCAGAAACTCTGCCGCCGACTCGGAGAGGTAAAGATAGACAGACAAAGGGGTTTCTTGGATTACGTAAAGCCTTTTTCTTAGGCATAGGTCTCTTTAAAAGGCATCGGTTGGCAGGTCTCTGGAGAATTGCTCTTAGACTTGCAGGGGGCCCTCCTTGGGTCGCAGAACGTTGCATGTGACGTTCCACTCAACGCGCCTCGAAACACGTTTGGTCATGAATTCAGGTACTTTGGATAGCTTGGTTTCACTTTCCACCGTTCACTTGAAACCGTTGAACCTGTGAATCCAATTTCTGAAGAGTCGGGTTTCATGAAGTCGCAAAAAAGGCTCAGCTTGTCACCGCAACTCAGGAATTACCCTTACGATGATCCGATCGAGACGGTCTGTCGAGTCTCGGCGCAGCGCCGATGAACTGGGTGACCGATGTTCCGGAAGCCGATCGACGCGCTCCGATGAGGGGAAGCTTCTCAAAGGTGAAGAGTGCGGACCGACTGGCATTCAATTCTTCGATTCTGAACGGTGTTGGGTGCCTGCTTGGGGACAGAGCTATGACCTTCTGCAGAAGTGGTCGAGGGAGCATGAGCGCTACATGTGAACAGCTTTTCATGCCCATGCAGGTGCTTTGTCACGGTGCGTTCTTGAACACCACCCTGGCAAGTGCCTCATTGTTCACTCCATTCATGTGTGTTTCTCCAGTGCCACCCCAGTGATCCAGTGCCACCCAACATGCTCCCCACCCCTGTCCATGCGACGCCAATGCTCCAAGGGACCTTGACCACGGTGAGCACCTTCTTCGCCATGTGGGCCTTCAAATGTTTGTTGCCCTTGATGACCTACTCCATCACTGCCACCACGGTGGACCCCGACCGCATCGCTCATATGGAGAGGCGGGGCGAGACGATGCGAGATGGAAACATCCATCGATGGAAGTGGCGGGAGGAAGTGATGGCAACGTCTGCCTAAAGAGCTCGGCTGTAAGCAGAATCCAAGAAGGTCATCGGGTGGCTTTTGGTACTAAAGGAGACTAAAGGGCCACAGGGAGGCTAATGCTCACAAAAAAGACAAAAACAGGAGACCGACATTTTGATAGGCTTTACATGTTGATTTGGGTTGATAGGCAGTTGATGGATTGATGGCTGAATGTCTCTGCAAGCTTGATGGTTGGGCTACTCCCACTGTCCCTACCAGGGCTTTTCCCTTGGTATTTTCCCTGACGGACATCGCCACCGTCGCACTTCATCAGGTTTGTGCTGCTGCAGTACCCGGCGGCGAAAGTCCTGGGCACCACGGATGTGCGAAGATCAGAATATTCTTGAAAGATGATAGTAGCGTCCTTGCTCCTAGTAGCGATGCCAGGAGCCCCTAGTAGCTTCTTGTTCCTAGTAGTACGGCCAGGAGCCCTTAGTAGCGT